CTTCTTACTGCCTGTGAATGTACATAAAGTTTTCCATCTCTGTGTAGCAACCGTCGCCCAATCGTCTTTCGTGGAATAGAAGTAAGTACAAAGTGGCTCCCACTTATAGCCTGACATTACAGAAAAACGGTAATTACAATGGAAATATCCGCAGGTTCTGCCTGTGTATCCAGGTTTTAAAAAAATGTTCCCTATGCCATTCCAATGAGTACAGAATGTTTTCTTCGTTCACGCAAACTGAATGATATTTTGTTAGTACGTAATGTATCTTTTTCCTAAGATTAAACAGACTAATGTCGTTACTTTGGAGGAACTCACAAGCATTGCTTTTGGTAAGTATTTTTCTCACCTGACTAGACACAACTTTGAGTAAAAGTATGAAAGAAGTATAAGGCTGGAACCGAACATAATATGTATAGGCGGTCACTGGCCAGTACAGCCGGATTGTGGTTTTGAGTTTTACCTAGCCACAGTCGTACAATGATGACAGCTCAATACGTGCTTGTCATAATAGTGGCACGTTTTTAGGCATTACTTCTGATACCAGACGAAAGCCAGTTCTTTCTAGAACAAACCAAAAAACCCGTTATGGCGAGCAACAATAGCACTTCTTTTGAATTTTAGCGTATTAGTTAATTTTTACACCCGAAGCAACCTCCACGGATATTAAATAGTAGATTTTTATGCGAAGTTGACGGAATACATTATTGTCAGAGCTCACGCGACTTCTGAAAGGTCTGAGGATTACTTTCGCGCGGCAGACTACAAAATCCTCACTCATGCTCATATCTGAAAGGCTTCATAATTTAGCGAAGTAACTCAAAAGCCCTTTTTGTTACAAGCTTTAGAAAAAAGAATAAATAAGTAATTGAGACATTCAGACAAAACCCCAACGATTAGCTTATTTAAGTTTGCATTTTTTACTGTACGAAGCGCTGTTTATGCCAACTGATAAGCAAGTTGAACTTGCCGGCCTCAGTACGTATAGATCTATGTTCAATCGATTGCCAACATCTTCAAACACTGATTAGCTTCGTAACTGATATTCGAATAATGTTCTTGGTCACATGAAAATTTACGTACACGTCTCTGCAGAGCGGATCAGTGGTGAGACCTTAAATAACAACACTGACCATCACCCGGCATTCTGCACGCTATGATCATCCATAGTCAGAAGCGAGGTTGTTTTTGGATCCTAAATATTCTTTGTTTGAGCCGGATTCTGCTCTCCGTGCTCAACTCGAGTCGGTTTGAACCGGGCATAAACAATTGACGAACGTTTCGTCAATTGCTTATGCCCGGTTCAAGTCCTGCATCAATGACTGCCTCCTTGGAATACGTCCAGTCTCAAGTGTTTACAGGGTAACCCGAAGATTGGTTTATAGGCCGAATGATATTCATCATCCGAATAGTAATATGTTGTGCTTTTGCGAATTGAGTCCTGCGAGTATACACTGGCCGGTGTATACTTTGCCTATGACCTGGCTGATGAAAGGCTGACTTGAAAAGGGTACCTTGCTCATATAATTACACATGATTATATTAGCGACATCCGGTTGATAATGCACGTTACGGTGCGTTGAGTGATGCTGCACACATAGCTAAATCGAGAGGTTCGCTACTGAAAGTGTCAAAATGCTTTATCAAGCAATTCAGCCAAGCTCAATGGGTTAGTCGCTTTACTTTGTATAGCACTCAGGCGTTTCGGGCTCGTTTTTGGGCTAATATGTAACAGGACTGACTTTTTGCTTAAAACGTGTTCAGCATGTTATATTTTCAGTGAATTTTCCTCAATGCCGTTCAAGTCTTTCCAGTCTTGATCCATACAAGAGCTCTACTCCGCGCACCTGACGCACCCTAGTAGATCATTTCTTAAGCCTAAAATTTTGTATGTTATCGTGACTTAGGGAAAACATATTTAAAAATTGTGTACCACTGTAAATAAATTGTTAACTTTACAGCTAAAAACTATTCGGGACGTTATCTGCGACTCATCATAATCTGCATATAGAACTTTCTAGCTTTGTTTAGAATATGTTTTTCTTCTAATTATGCATCCTTCGTTAAACTCATTCGGCATATTTATCTTTGCATGGATTTCTGGATCCAAATATACAAATGCACTTCCGCTTCCAAGTCTCTTAATACGCTCTTAGAAATTTCGATACGGCATTATCTGATTAGGCAGGTTAAAAAAACGCTCATAGGCTCTCATTAGGGTAAGGCAGAAGGTTGTTCGCCAGGTAATAGCAGTTTTTTTACTATGTTCTATACTTTCTTTTATATTTTACTTGACAGTAAGTGCTCTTTCTTCCACAGGCCGGCTGTGGTTTCGTTGTATTATACGTAGAGTATTTTGCTCAGATTCTGGCTTTAAAAGTAGATGTTTTCCATGGGAAAGATGCATTTTCGACCCCTTACTATACTTCGTTCTTCGCAGACGACGACAACAACGTATCGAAGCAGTTAAGATGGTTTGTGCTGTATCGGGACTATCCGCAGAGATGGACCGGGCGGATGTACCTCATTCCTCTGGTCAACTGCCTAAAGACAATAAGGATTTTGAATGGCAAACAACTCCTCAATTGGCCAACAAGCTTAATGAAAAACGCCAACATATTTTGAACTGCTTAGCAGATTTCATGACAGGTACATCTTTTAGTTACCTTTCAAGTTACTCTACCTAGAATTACTAAGGTGCTCTTATTTTTATTATTAGTAGCACAGTATTGTTAGAAAAATCTTTCATGTTCTAAACAAGTGCCATATACGAAATTTTAGGCGCCATAGAATACCAGCTTATTCAAATTGATACGACCCCTAGCGGCTTGTTTGCTCGAATGTTAAGCCTTTAAAAGAGAACTATTATGTACTCTAGACAGGATTGACACGTTTATCCTTTATATTTATCAGACACACGATTACGAGATACCCTGTATACAGACCCGATTGTTTGGTTTACGTGAAACACATGGCATTCGTTAACGTCAATACTACGAAGGCAATCTTTAGAATTGTCGAAACAATAAACGGTTAAATAAGGTCTAGTAAATTTCTAATAGATGTCAACAGTACCTAACTCGCCCACAGTAGATTAGTATTGATCGCGTTTTTAAAACGTGTTGTCGTCGTAGTAATCGGCGTTTCCAGTAGACGTCACTCCATCGTCTAATGTACGTATGGACATTGCAAACTACGTACACTGAAAGGTGTGAAATAAATGTATATCGAGTAGTCTAACCCTTTAAACGATGAAAGGAAAGAGGAAAATCAATTCAGCGAAATCTTTTGAACTTTATAATTGAGAGTGATAATATATCTTCAGTAAATGTAGCGTTAAGCAGCACTGGCCGTCTGCATAGAGCAACATAAAGTTGAATAGGCTAGGCAACGGGTTCGATATTATTTTGTTCGATCGATGAGATCCTCTTTTTTATTAGCTCAAATCCCATTTTGCTTGAGTCTAATGTATCTGTAGCACCGGTACGCTTCGTTTACCCCCCTCCCCCCCCCCCCCCCTGCTCCTGTGAGCGTGCCTATAAATCTACTGAGGCTAACAATCATTGAGACAGAAGACCAGGCCCCTCCATAAACAATCAAACGCCTATCTTCTTCGTTTTCTGGCTGCAGAGATCAGTCAATGAATAACTCTTGAATAAGCAACTCGTTGGTAACCCATTCAGTTTATAGCTTGTACTGCTCAATTTACTACTGAGTGCTCTAAAGTGTTAAGCGCGTTTCACTATCCGATTATATAGCATTGGTGAGTTTGGACCTATACATAGACGGCTCCACATTATCACCTTAATCATTATATACGGATCCGGAAATCAGCATAAGAGGGTATAATGTTAGGTTATATGTAGCATGCAAGCAGTTCGGCCAGTGCACAGTATTGCACTAGGCAGACCGGCACAGTGCTACGTGGCTGAAGGAGAGGTGGACGGGGAAAGAGGATGGAAGAGTCAGATTCGGGCAAAGCGACTCGCTTTCAGTCCGTTCTGCCCAACCTACTACTGCTACATCGCTTGGCTCTTTGCCGTGTATATGTATACTTGCGGACGGTATAAGCTAAACCTATGGTCTTCGTTCGATCGAACCAAGCCTTCTGCTGTTGCTGCCGCTGATGGCGGTAACGTTGTCTAGCTAGAGCTAAGCCCACGTTACGGAGCTATGCTGTGGCGCATAATTGGCTCTGCTTGCCAGGTGCGGATATGAATGAAAAGAATTAACAGTGGGTTAATTCTCGGCCTGAACTGCCCGGCTTGCAGACGATGAAAGCTTCCTGTTCATCGAACAGGAGTATTAGTAGCTGGGCGCAGTGGCCTGGTGCTGCAGCATTCGACCGGAGCTAGGGGGAGCTGTTAACTCGTCTTTAAACGTTCACTGTTCCCGGACGAGGGCCGAAGGATCAGGAACATGGGAAGACACAAGAATCACGGGGTCGTTGATTCCGCCACTGCTTCGTCAACCGGTTAAGCGGCTCGAGTCCCCAAATCCTCCGGCAGCCATCTCCCATCAACTACCGTGATCCCACGCAACCGCTCAACTCTGCCCTCCCAATTTGCTAGTAACATCTATCCACTAGCGATGCACGATCCGGCACCAGCGCTCGGAACGATAGAAGCAACAAGACAAGGCGACCTGAAACCCAAATACGTCCCATATCTCGAGTCTCCCCGTTTCTTCCACCTATCACCGATCTGACAAGCACCCGATACTGCGGTACAGGCGATAGATTCTGATTGAATAATCACAATACTCTACTCAAGTTAAATACTATTAAAGTTATTCACGTTCAAAAGTAAAAAAGTGATAGATGCATCTGCCACACAAGTAGCGGTAGCGGTAGGTAACAGCGAGCCGCTGTCGTCACGATTTCCGTGTTCGTCTTTAATTGCGAGCGAGTAAACATTCGTCTTAAACATATAATTTATTTAAAACATTTAACGTGTTGATTATCGACAACAACAAAACGTATCGCAGCATATGATTATCAATCCGTTAAGTACTTCTAAAGACTCAGTAAAAGTGACCAGGCTGCTGGTTTTGTTGTTTAATACCAAGGTCTTCATGAATTCTACATGTAAGTTCTTCAATTAATTTTAAATAGCTAGAATACGAGCTGTGTAACACAATTTAAAGGGTTGCAGGGATATTTCGTTACGCCTGTTTCTTGAAAGTACGCTAGAACTTCTAGATTACTGTGACAATGTAGGATCTCTGGTGTGCTGTCTGCCGTTTACTGCCGAAGTTAAGCGGATAGGTAGGACATCAGAGTCGGCAACTGTGAAATCTAAGTTTAGGATGTAATGTTTTTCTAATTATTTGAGTGATTAACATAGTTGTACTGCGCAGTTCCGCTTAATCACCATGGGCTATTTTTTACGGGCATCAGATTAAACCTTTGGCGAAGCTAGGATTGAGAGATTCCAATTCTGTATTAAGACATATTAGAACATTCACTACATCAACAAATATTCATAAAACAATTTACTACCTGTTTACGTCTCCGGGTGAAGCAGAGTGAGAGTCGCTGGGTAACGATATGTAAATGATACAAAATATATGTCAGACTGTTTTTCAGTGAAAAGGATAAATTTAATTATAGACAATGTAAATGAATGCGCGGCATCCGGGTCTGCGTAATCCAGTGGAAAAAGACACTCACGTATTTTAATAAAGACGCTAAATTTCTGTGTATTTTTCGGATCAGCTCAATCATTCTTCTCTTATTTTTTTGTTATCCTTTCATTTGTCTAAAGGCTTAGCGTTTCGTAGCTTTTCCCTTTGTCGCGGAAAGAGTTTTCACAATATTCAACACAACTGACATTTCGTTATCATCTACAAATCGCGCCTAACGAATCAGGCCGCAGCACCGATACTCTATGGAGTGTGCGCTTAATTATTTACCACCCCCGTTCAAACATTTACTGAAACTACCCCCGAAACGACACGTAGTATCGACAAAGCGGTAACATCCTGCGTATTTACCGATTTGGCTGCCAACTTCGAGCACGACGCCTCGTAGATTACTATGCAACACAACGGCAGATGCAAACAATCGCCAACATAGTAAGCGATGGTACAACGTAGAAAATCAAATCGTTAGCTAGCGCTACCTAAGAGTTACGCTAGCTTTTTTGAGTAGGAAAATAGTGTATTGTAGAGTTTGCAGGACAAACCTGATAATAATAGACCAACTGAGCCTTGTCCGCTTCACAGGTTGTCAGTTCTGCTCATGTATAGCTTTCGAATATGACAACAGTAGTAACTTTAAGTACGTGAAATGAAGTTATTTCCGACTCGCTCTGCTTTTGAGAGCAACGATGGGTTCGATAATGCATCAAACAATGTGCAAAAATAGTACTCAACACTTCCTTACTTTGATGCTATATCTCATGTTTATACGTCTCGCCATAATCTAATTTGGTGTATCACGTTTAATCGGCAACTAAGTATTTTAATATTACCACACAAAGGAATAATTGTTTAACCTTATGCTTAGACCAACAACATCATTTTATGTATAATTTTGTAAAACTGCACAAACACAGATTTGTTTTCCATTCTGCATTTCTAGAACAGCCGATTGCTTGCACCCTGCCGATAATCCCAACTTTGCTTACTTCCATTTACGAAATTATGCAGACGACCGTTCACGCCATCCATTTAGCCGCTGATTTAGCGGTCGAAATCGATACTGCTTAGATCGTTGACGTTGAAAATTAGTGGAACGATGACCAACGTAAATATCATTAGAGTTGTCAGACAGATCAGCTTCATAATTAAACCTGATCGTGCCTGAAGTTTCGGCGTAAGAAGGAAAATTACAGACATACATCCAGTCGTTTGTTGTTCTGCTACTAGGTACGCTTTGACTTGTATCCGGCGCTGTGTAGCTACATTATAAGAATAATTATTCTTGACGCCAACCATTTCGTATGTCGTCATTCCGGAACTATCGGCAATAATCGCATTGGGCGCAGTGGCCACCGAAAACACGGACGCGTCCGAGCAGCAGAAGGCTACGGGCAGTAGTATCAATAGGGAATGGGCACCCGCGTTCCTTAACTGCACGGTCGAATGCAAATGGATGCATAAATGGAAAAAAACGATAACACAAGTTAGACTGCTTTCAGACTCCCGCTTCTAATAAAGTAGTATTTTACCTAATTTACAAACTGTAGTTTTTTTTTACAAGAAAAATTGTAGTTTACCAAGAAGCCATAACGCACGCATGTGGGATTTTTGCTTTATCTCACTAGACGAACTTGAGGAATCAACGCTATTAAGTGATTAAAAGCTTTTAGTACAATTTCATCCGGCAGTAAAACGGAGCAGGTTGGTGTGTTTAAGGCCACCTTTGTGAGGCACATAGCCGTGAGTAACACGAGGAAGGCCAAAGGCACCGGTGGTACATCTTGTAGCCAACCCATTTGGTCACCTATCCATGTTGATAGGCTAGAGACCTAAAAATGCAAAAAAAAACAATCAGCGAAGATCCATAAAAATATGTACAATTTCACCTATAGAAAGTTAGCAGATTCGTCCAGCGAATTACTACTCAACACAGCAGCTGATCCTCAGTGGGCAACGTAGGTCCAACACTGGGCGTTACAGCAGTCTATTTGATGGGAAATCCATCTTGAAACCTTATTCTGTTGCAACAAGTTAAAGGCACTCACGAAAAAAAATCGCTGTCTTTTTTGGCAGAGAATTAATAAAAATTTTACTTCGGCCGAAATCAGATTAAATATATATTCAACAAAATAATCCTCACTGGTATTGGGTGCCATAAGTTATAATTGTTACCTGGACTCCATCGCTGAGAGCCATCGACCCGCCAATAAGGAATACGACAGATGAGAGCGCCTCCTCATGAATAACCTTTAATACACAAAACGGCATATTTACGTACGCATCCTGGCCAAATCATTAGACAGTATTATTAATCACAAAAAGGCCCAGGTTCGTGCTCCACGCTTGTCCTCTATTTGCGAGCAGGAAATCAAGATGTCCGTTACACATTTGATTATAAAGAAGCATGTCCTAATATGACACGAAGAGATTCTGCTAGCTTGCTTGCAGAGATCGCGATAAACAAGCTAAATCTGCATTAAAACGCATTTTTAAAAGGAAACTTAACTAGACGTTCTGTTTCTAGCTTCAAGACGTTCAATGCCTCTCAACTCAAATCAGGATTTTGAGACCCATACACCGAAAGCATAAATATCGTGAAACCTTGTACCAGAATTGCAGGCGATGTTGCCCATTTGGTGGGGTCACGTGGCACAGGAAACATAATACGAGGACATATGCTAGAATCGAGTCCTTCACATCCCTAGAATGTTAGGCAGGGCATACACATTAGTAAGCTATGGAAAATTGAAGCCTTAGTCACGGTATAAATTGCAGAAAAGTTCCGGCTTACAGAGCTACGAATATGAATAGATAGCTCTTAGATGTTAACAAACAGAAAATGCAGCTATACATGCGCCATCGAGATAGCTTAAAACTGGCCTTTAATGGTTTGGATAAGAGTTATAGCTACTGATAGATAGATAGATAGATAGATAGATTACCCCGTGTCTAGAAAGAAGTTGTCTATTGTGCCCGATGAAGGTCACACTCACTGAGCATCAAAAAGCATTCACAAGTAACACACCTAATGTTGCGTAACTTATTTAGAGACTAAGGCAGTCCAGCCCGAGATAAAGCCTGGTTCCCTAAAAAACCACAATAAAAGTAGAAATGCGAACAAACACGCTACGGAAGTCTCGTGAGAGCTGAAAAAACAAAAACAGTATTTTATTTAGATTTATTGATTATATATAAATACACATATAGCCTTCGACAGTAATGTTTAATTCTACTTAAGAATAAGATATTTTTCGAAAAAATGCTGTCTGCTTATCAAATCTATAGACTATTTACAAACAAAGCAATAGGTCAAGTTATCTATTTATTAGATTATGGATCCAGAAGGCCATCTCTAAATTTAACCATACCTCATAGATCCGAGTTGAGCATAGCTTGTGTGAACCGATAAAGGCACGTCTTGCGCTTGATCTAGATTTTTCATACTGTAAACCATGCATAGGTAACTCTAAGCGATGTCTCCAACAGAAAACCATAGTTCATATGAATAAGCCGAAGACATGTCCAATATATATATGATTAAAATCAATTCAACCATTTTTACTATTTACTACACCTGTGGTACTTACGTATTCTTCAAATACGTTAAGTAAACAAACAAGCATGCAAGAATGAGATTGATCAATGCCGTTGGCGTACCGAATAGTATCTCGGATAATGCCTACAGCAAGGACCATTTTTCCAATATGGCTGAGTGACATGGATCAGTTATTGAGGCGTTTGTGGCCAGGGTTATCATTGACGATGCCCTAGTGGCACAAGGGGGTGCCGATCCAGACTGTCGCACACTACGAGGATCTGTTGTGAATGAAAACAAACCTAATAGGAAGGACATTTCAAATAACGCTACAGGTTACTAATTCAACCTTTGTTGATGTGTCTCTGTAAACAACTTGTAGGTTGTTAGATTAGGCAAAAAATATGACGCTAAACTAAAAAAATCTATACTTTATTTTTACGCACTCCTCTAGAGAGGAGTACAAAATTTTGAAAAAATCGACACATTCGATCATAGTGAAGAAAAAAAACAGGAACTCGCAGTGTGTTTTTTTTCCAGCAAGCAAAAACAGCAAACAGCGAATCTGTCGGCAAAATCTTAAGGCAGATTTAGTTTACGTTTTCGAAAATTTACATTTTATCATAAATAAGAATACGTTTGTGCGATCGATTTTATGATCTAATCCGTTCTTAGTAACTGACGATGTATCAGGCTATTAAGGCAGTCAAGCCGTGGAGAACGTTGACATTGTTGCTGCTTCTATGTCGTCAATCAGATCACCAGCTTCTCGTTGACACGAAAGCAGTTGAATTTCGTATTATATAAAGGGGTAGTATATACTTAGAGGGTACCCGTTAACTGTCTATAGATTACTGAATGATCCCTTCGCTTTTGAAGTATAATTAAGGAGGTTATTTGTCGTTTTCGAAAAGATCGAGCTTCTTGATTTCCTTAATAAGGTAGCTAGCTATCCTGAACGCTCTCTCACACTAACAGTCGACATGGTCAGCAGAGAGGTAATCTGTTAGGCAGCAATGTCAGCTTTAATCTATCCAGTAGATATCCGCTAGCACAATCGCCTCTCCGCCATTACCATTTTCACTCTTAGTTCCTCAGATGAAGCATAAATGTTTAAAGTTTTTATTCCTCTAGGTGCTTTATGAGGACACGCTTGGACAGTCCTTGTCAAAACACGGAGACATTTACTTACTGGCACGTTCTAGAATTAACACAGTCTGGAGTTCTGAACTAGGCCTCTGCAGCATCAATAGGTTCTTTGAATTTCGCATCAGAAATAAATTAAAAGTGTAATGAGTAAACCGCCTTTAAAAAGCCCGCGTGCCATATTGCGCCGGAGATCAGGTGACTGATACGAAATGTCGGTTTCTAGCTCTTATAAGTGCGTCAAAAGCACTTCGATGACCGCCGCTTTTTGATGGATGGTTACCAACTTTTGGCAAGGCGCCCCCTTGTGTTTTGTTTCGAATGGTTAGACACTGCTCAGAGCATTGTATTCGTGTAATTGCCCGTCCGATAGAACGTAGAGCCCTGTCTGTCGGATCTCGGCGCGATACGTCGAGATACATTGTAAGAATTGCGGCCGTGCTATACCATTGTGTAAGATAGTCACGGTTCAGGATCATAGAGCTTGTTTACTACGAAATGATTTTTACTTTCCGTGACAACTTTACCACAAACCCTCAATAGTGAAAACACTGACTAGAATAGAAGATTTGGGTATTAAAGGCGTACCTTGTATATATATATATATATATACACACTTTTTAACTAGCGTAGACAGTTTTCGCGTTTGTCGGGAAGTAGATGAACTCCAAGTGAAAATTTTTTTTGGCAAATTTGCTGTTGGCCATCTTTATCAACAAACTGCCATTTGCCTAAAAGTCTACTAATGATAATATAGCAGTCCAAACATATCAATTAACTTGGGCGATACGAACTGTTCTGTGAAGGCCTTTAGAATAAGGTTGGGCGGGGACTCAGTCAATGACCCCGTTCCTCCGATGTTGGCTGCATAGGAGGCCCCCAGATAGAGTGCACGGCGCAACCTTGCTTTCTGTCCCTGGGACCCTTACCTTCGAAAACGGCATACAATGGAACACAGACAGTAGAGATTAAACGATGGACAAAAATGTGGTTGAGCATTCAGTCGACTCTGTCAGTTTAACCTATCTCATTCATGTTCAGATTGGTTCTTGAGTTAGGGTCTTATCATACGGCTATCGGTGTGATATTAGCTCAATCCCGTTAATGCTACTAAGGAACTTTTCAAAGTAATAGTACAGTCAATCATAGTCGAGGCAAAACTGGTTGAAATCGTATCAACCGTAATGAACACACAGCATAGAGACGCATAGATGTAGCATCCTCATCGTCTTTAAAATCGTCAAGTTGAACAGATGTTGTACCCTTTCGCTTATTTCCTGGAACAAATGGGATCAAGTCATTGGTCAAACGATTGTCAAATTACCTGTCAAATTAACCTGATTTAACTTGACAGCAACGAAAAGTAAACGCAAGTGGCTGTTAAAATTAATAAAAATGGCTTCTCCAAGACTTTCTTGTGGCCTATTTCCGAATGGAGATTAAAACGTTTTCCGTAACTTATTCATCAAACATATATATATATATATATATATATATATACACGTTAACGTCATACCAAAATGGCGTTTGTACATTTCGGAGGAACTTGACTTCTCGGTGTCACAACCAGCCTGGTGTAGTCGCAGCTGGTGGAGTATTCCCTCAATAATTGGAACCATTAGTATTACTGTTGCAGCATAAACATTGAGAGAAATGCAGTTATTGTCAGGATACCGGCCAATAGACTGTTAACGAGCGAAAAAGACAGATTAAGTAAGACAACGATATTGTTAGATTTTTAAAAATTCTATATCATCTCGATAAAGATTTGGACTAAAAAATCGTATCAAGTCAAAAAATCGACCTACTCAGGCATAACGAAGAATGTTTGAGAACAGCCTCTCCCTCCAGCCCTCGAACAATAATAATTCATTTAGTGAGAAGCAGCCACGCAGATCTTTATGGTTAAGCTATAGACTGATACTAATGTGGTACAAACTAGATAGAATCTATGCATTTTTAGAAATTATGTAAAATAATGAGGCATTTCATATTATCATTGGGTCGACATGCGATAGGGAATTTCTACAGCCATTGTTTGGTGATAGTATGCCAACATTTAGGGAAATAATGTTCTTCTTATGGTTCATGTGGCAACGTGTTTGCTGACTCGAATGGTATATACGTGATTACGTTCTAGGCGGGTGTAGACATGCTGCGTTTCATGCTGGAAACTAGCTGCCCGAAACAATGTTAAGTGACAATTTCTAAATAATGCGCATATGAAACAGTGTTTAATATTAGCAAATTCGTACTTTTTTGAAGTAATTCCAGTGGCCAGAATAGCTCGGAAGGCAATTCTGTAATGCAAGTTAGAGTACTGAACTGCCGCCGCGGCAATAAGCGATCCCAGGAACATTGACGCTGTGTCCTAATTATCATATGATTACGAAATTAGACACACAAATATTAATTATGATTAAATACAAACACAGATAATTTTTAAATAACCTAAAACATCCGTCTGGTACTAGTTTATGAGACAATTTTTCCGCTCTCAACAAAGCTTGGTCCAGCTTACCCCAAAGTAAGCTCTTCCCATATCAACACCTCTGAGGATACCGAATAGGGGGAAGAAGGCAAGAGGTATCAAGGCTATCACCGCCAGGGATATCGCCTCGGTCATCCAAAATAGTGACATGAGGATGACCACCACCATGTTGCAAACCAATAAAGGTAGAAAAAACACTCAGATAGAGCGCGTTGTTTACTGCTATAAATAATAAATACAAAAACCAGTCATATAAGACATATTAAATATAGTAGTTCGATGTGCGACATATATTTTTGCTCAATAATAAATACGGTTTTATATACAACGGCGAGATCATGTTATTTTACGTAAATATGTAATAAACAAACCTTAGTTTGACTATACAGGGGCATGATCGACAGAAAAACTGGTACGATAAATGCGAATACCCTTCACGAATGAGGTCATCGTACCACGACGATTTAGCCACTTCGAGCGCCCGATACACTCTCAGACAAGTTCGTCGGGTTTCTCTAAATCGCGTTAAATATACATTCAAATAGTCAAAATAATGGCCACTAATCGTTATTCGTAATTTGAAAACACCTCTATTAAGCCTTATCTGTCTATCAAGTGTACTGTCGCCGGTAATATCTGTTTGGACGGTCCGACGGTGGAGCTCGCTTTTGAAATTTGTTAGTTTCAGGCGGCTTCCTGAAACTAACAAATTAAGTTGAGTCCTAGTTAAGTGTTTATGCGAAAGCTGTAGGAGGTAGGATGCGTAACATGGATGTAAATTGTCGTTTCTGTTACAATATAGTAAAATCTCAAGAGTATTATATATCTATAAACAGAAGCTTTTTGCAAGTATCTAAAAGCAAGCAATAGTCGTACAAAGAGTTGGTCTAAAGTCATGAAAAAAATATAGTTGAATACCATTGTATCCAAAAGTTTATATCGTTCATTATATAAGATCATTATTTTTCATCGGTAGATCTCGTTGGTAGAACTCGTCGGTAGATCTGATTTGATTTGCAATTGGTATACCTTAAGCATATATATATATATATATACAAGGAGAGAGAGAGAGAGACAGAGATAAATACACCAGAATAAGTATATCTACTAACATTCGATTATTTACTCAGCATCCAACCTATATCGAAAAAAAATAGTGTATAACCTACGGCTCAAAAATGGATAAGCCGTTTGATTTTTTTTTAGTCATCGAAGCTTTTTTTCAGGTTTGATTGTCCCATAGCTTAGTTAGCGATTTTTCTTTTATTTTTTTCTGCGGTATCGAAACGTTCCTTCTGCAAGCTCTTCCTTAGTTTTGAGAACAAATAAGAGGTCACAAGGGGCTAGGTCCGATGATTTTGGGGGTCTAGGGAGCATGCACATGAAGTTTTCTTGCGGAAACTACTCCATGGGTAGTAAAGTATGGACCAGTATTTTGTAGCGATGGAAAACCAAAAACTTATTTTGTCCTAGTTCTGGACTCTTGCATTAAACAAATATGCACGACTTCCTTAAAATTTCTTTATAGTACTCTTCAGTGACCGTAAAGACGGACGGTATGAACGGAGTGATGAGGGGTTATTTGATGGTCAGAGGAAATCGTGAGGAGCATTTTAACTTTGGATTTGAAGCGTGCGACTTTTTTCGGAGAGGTGCCGTGTTTGAACCGGTAATTAAAAGATTACCTATTAGTCACCTTGTTATCGCCGTACGCTAACATTCGGTCATCCGTAATGTCATGTTCAAGCAAGTTTGGCTCTAGAAGGTTCGTTGACAAAGTTCTTCTGGTCTTCTTCGGGTGCTCATTTACTGGACATCCAGTTGTTTCGTCACAAACTTTGCTGTAAACCTTCAGACACCTGAATCATTAGTAAAAATGGGCTAACATGAGCGAATCTTCTTTCTTTCTTCCTGTCTTTTCTTCTAGTTCTCTTATGGTGATTTGGCGGTTAGAACGCACTTGCAAGTTCTCGTCCAAGAAGTCGCCCGAGGCGATGACGATTGATCTCGATGGACTCCTGTCAGTCTTCACGTAACGCCTGAGCTACTTGTATACTTTACCCAATGCCTAAATTCTGCAAGCATTCTGTCCCATGCACAATAAGATTGTGTGATTAATTTTATTTTAATCCAATGCAGGCTGCCTTGTCCATCTGCCTAAATTGCCAAACTTTCAGAATATACAGTACTCTTACCAAAAAATTCGGGATAGCATCAGATCACTACGAAATTTATATGTAGCATGTAGTAAAAACCCTCCTCGTTTTACGAAAACACAAATAGATCACAAGCGATCATCTAGCACGAAAATTTAAACGACTCATTAGTATTTGTACAATGAATTACATCCTCTCACAATAGCACATTTTATTTAACCACTTTGAAGATTATTATGGTTAATAGTAAAACGTCGTTTTACCTACGCAGTTTATAAATTTTACTATATAATTGCATATTCGTAGCACTGTAAAGCTTAACGATAGGGATCGCGGTTACAGGCTAGTGAAGCACTGCGAGCCCGGGGCTTTCGTCAAATAGTCGGCCATATTCGGACCAAAAAAAAATAATGTATTTATTCAATAATAATAATGCGCTGTCAGTTTGCTGCATGTATATATTTCAGACTGAACGTGGCATTAGACGACACGTTAGGCTTACTATTTATATTTGCTTATTAAGGCTTTATTGCACAAGCGTTCAATGCAACGGCGTTCGTAGGATGGTCTCGTAATGTTCTAAAAGCGCCTTCCGAACCAATAAAAATAGGCGGCTTTCCGATTATCTTTAATACATAAAAGGCCTGCCTATCTCAACCGGTTCTCAGTTCTAAAGCCAATTAAATAATTAATACTTATCAGATTTACTACAACAAACAAAATATATGATAGCTAGAGCTTTTACTCAACGTGTTCCTGTTGACAATGATCCCAGCATTTTTAGTTGTACGATCATAACGGAGTTGCACTACCCCTTGCGCTGATTTTGGGTGGTTTTATACTCACTAAGGTTATTCCCTGGAAGTTAATGTAAAGATAGCTTTTCAGAAAATTACTGCGCTTCTACGGGTGCGAAACTTGCTACTGCGTCCATACAACGCTATGCCCAAACCTGATTTATCTTCCTATCAATACTGAAACTGTATGGCATCCATGTATCAAACTGTACGTTAATTAGCTACGTCTGTCTGATAAGTGGATTTTTATCTAAGGAGACATCTGTCAACCAAGCATTTGTTAAAGCTTGGGCGGCCTTCTTCGTTTCAATCGTCACGAAGATTCTGCCGGGGAAATACACAAACCGCTATGGCAATCAGTTTCTAAGCAGCCGCACATTGAGCTCCAGACTCATCACAAACGGTCACTCTCATTGGAGTGATTCGTCTTGGCCACGACTGCCTATAAATTAGTAGACCTACGGTACGAGCATGTGAAACGGCGATCTTTACGCACAGCCTGAGGTCAAATAAAGTCGGTGTTAACGCTACAGAAGCGTAGGGTTGGGGCGTACAATAAGTTGTTTCGGCAGAGTCCCCAATGAAGCGGAACACTTTTTGCACTAAAGTTCGAATGGAAACCATTAATTAAATAGTGATAGATACTAGTATTTTTAGCAGGGTCAGTTTTCCAATCTAAATAACTAGCCATCATATATTTAAAAAATGTATTATACTATTATAGAAAAAGGTATATAATATATAAAGGTGTCGATATCTTTTGTATACAAGCTAATAGTGGCTTTCTTCCAAACAAGTAAAAGCTGTTTGCTTGAATTTTTATGACAGTTTCCCATGTCCTGTATTCGAATTAGAAGGTACATGTTATATGGCATAGACAAATATCTTACGACAAATTCGCCTTAAATTAAGGGCCTTTTGAGAAGCAAATTTAAAGTACAAGATAAATAAACTCAATCACATCTACTAGCCCGATGTTAGCATACTTATTGCGACAATGTCAACTTATAGGCCTGAGTTGAATCTTTTACTTTTTATTAGATAAATCATGTGAGTTTGATATAGCGATGAAAAATCTCATATTAAAATGCTTCTTCAGTCATTGATTGATTTCAAACACTTGTTTTAAATTGTATTTTTACTGATTCTAATTGGTTGAACTCAACTAAAAATAACCATTTTGTATCTATCATTAACCTTAGGCCAGTTATGTCTTTTCTCTTCAATTCATGTCCGTAACATCCGGTTGCAAAAGGCATAAGCTATTTATACAAGAAGAAGGCATAGGTAAATCTTTATAAATTCAACGTCTTGTGTGGCTCTATATAATTTTTTAAGAAAAGTCTTTTTTTTTCGTTCACGTATATTGTAATGAAAATTGACGCTATCGACTTAACTATAGGACACAAAGACATTTGGTACGCCCATACACTTAGTTATGTTTACATCTAAGTAAATCATAGCTGATGACGGGTGCCATATCTACAAATATAGCATATCTGCCGGCCGACACTTAATTTGAGAGTTGCCTATCCCACGCGTTATTGTGGCCCGCGTCATACGACGCACTTATCAACTTACCTTAAAAAGATGGTTTCGTTACAGCGTACAATACGTAACTGGCTAATATTTACTACTCTAAACTGTGACATTCAACTTCACTTCTGTGTATACGATGATAGGACTGTACGTTTCGCATAGCACCATCACAATTGAAATAGTTCTACTCTGTGAAAAGGCTACGGCACTGCATTCATGTTTCATTCAACTCATTTTAACTTGAAGTTACCGATCCTCTCTACGGGGTTGTTCTTAATGCATCTGCAACGAATTATTTTTTACGAATGACAACTGAAAGATGACACAGGCTAGCCTGTTTGCCGCCAGCATGGGGCAAGCGGGATCCTAAAAATCGAGAAAAAACTTTATTACTTTATAGACTACAAAGCTCTTACTTCATCATAACTATGGGGTTCGACGTTTATGAACAGTGAATGCTCATGTCAATGCGTTTTCGTTAAAGTTAAATGGAGACCTTGTACGGAAAATTGTGCTACACTATACATGTGTGACCGCACCATGCGTGTAGCTTCCTATCCGTGAAAATTGTCTCATCGTTTTGACTCGTCATCCCTGCAGTTAATGTACAGCTTTCCGAAGCGTTGCAGCAGAAAATTGTCCGTGGCTTTTCAGGCCAAAAAACTGGCTATTTGCG